ACACGAACATGACTACGACGCGGACTTAAACTCAAGTTATGATCAAAGCTAAACTTTATGCTATTTATCACAACAAGATGAGAGTTAAACTACCTCTCCACTAGTCGATGATCTCCGCTAGATGCGGCGTTCGCGTGCGTGCTAAACTCTCTCGGCGGTGCGTACGCGCTAAGCCTGCGGTGTGACTTGTCGTGCGTGTAGGTGCTATTTTGGGAAGAACTCTTGCACTCTCACAACTCTCACTATGCTGATTTATATTGAGTATATACGGCTGAAGATTAAGGGAAAATTTTCCCAAACACTCACATATATATAGGGGCCGAAATGAGGAGGTTAAGAGGTGGGCAATTAAATACACTTGGCTTAATCTTAAGGCAACTTAGCTTAGTCACCTGTAACCATGCTTAGTCACATTTTAATTGCACCAAGTGATGACACCTCCTACTTGCTTAAGTAGGAATGAAAATGAGTACAAGTCCATTAACTTCCCACTTATAAAACTTACGGCTTTTGTGGCTTATTGGGAAAAAAATCGAATGGCTTAATGACATTAGGATGTGATTAATATTTAATTAATCACTTAATTATGCTTATTCAACTTTTAAGCATAATACTTAATTACCAAAATTATTCCGAACGTAAACGGAACGTCGAAAATAATTTTCGGTAATCTCGACTGAAATGACTGAAAATAATTAATTCCGAAAATTAATACTCGACAATATTAACATATCAGAACTAAAACATGATTTATACTGATAAACTGACGCGATATTACATAAATGAATGAGTATCTGGCTTTTTTTATATCTGTATTGTTTGATATTATATTTTTCTATTTTTCCTCCTGATTTTACATTAATTGCTTTAATTTCAGAATCATGGTGTACATATATTTCTCGATTTTATGTGATATCATTAATGTTTTTTTTTTTTCTATATTGCAGGCAGATATAAACATTTAAGGAGCTAGAATATTGCATTTTTTATTTTATTTACTGGATTTTAAATCCAAAAGGATATATGTAATTTATTTTTTGTGTATTTTAAATCGTTAATGTAATTCTTTTTTTTCGGAAAAAATTATGCTTAAATGGATATAATGTCGCCCGCTAAAACTGATATCACACTATAAAACTGAAATCAGACTTTCAAAAAATATATCTCATGTGATTATGTAAAGCAAATAAAAGTAGGTTTAATAAGTAAAGCTAATTAAAGTTGTATAAATAATAGAAATGTAACCGATTTTGGGGGGGAAAAGTGGAATAGTGCCAGCTAGGTAAAATTTATTAGGTTTTATTTATTAGGTAAAACTAATTAGTTAGCTAGCATTTATATATATATAGATTATATAATATTTAGATAATGAAAATTAATATTAATATTCAAAAATTTAAACTTACCGAATATCTTCAAGAAGAATATCAATTAATCTCTTTTATACACCTCTCGACGTTGCTTTTTGTACGTTTTGAAAGAACACGACTCGACCAATCACATCTAGAATTCAATATAAATGTAGCATTAAAAAACAGTTTAGTGTAAGAAAAGTCTTAATAAAAAAATTATAAAGTATATAAATGTTACCAATTAGCCTTGGGTAGCCTTCATTAAAGACCTCCTTAATTTCAGTTTCGTCATTGAACAAAAACTGGTCATTTTTGGGGTAGTTTTGAACATGTTGTGATCTGGTTCCACAACAAAATTCTTTATTCCATATGTATTCCTTTCACCATTTACCAACAGTCCAAAATTTTCAGCCAAGCTATCTGGTGCAGACGCATTAATGCGCTCCCCCTGAAAAATAATATAAAAAATCACTTATTGATGTCGGAAAAAATAAGTAAAAAATAGAATATATGTCAAATTATTAATAAGAGTAACATATAAACATGATGTCTACCTTGACATCATGAAACACAAACTCTAAGCTTGATTCTCTTTTTTTGGGATAAAACCTAATTAATCTCAAAATTGTTGTTTTGTTTTTATTCTTGGCAAGATAAGTGAGATTATCAAAGTAGGAAGACATTTGTAGATGAGTTTTATGTTGCTGAATTTTGAAATGAGGGTGATAGTTGTTTTGTGAAATGGAGTGAT